TGACATTCCCTTAAGTTTAATACTGAATTTTCAGTTAATAAAACCGCCTGAAAATGAATTCATTATAGACTCGTAACACTGTAATATTTGAAACTCCTGGCCTTTTGCAGTTTTTTTGCAAATATATTGAAGTCGAAAAACTTTTTTTTGTCTGAGCCATTGGCTTCCGATCCCTCTATCTTTATTTGATTCTGAGGATGGTCCAAAATTGTAAGCGTACTTGACTGTTTTCGATCTCGGTTAAGAATTAAATCCGTGTTCATGCATTTTGGCATATCCCCTTAGGTGTCATACAGAACCGCTATTCATTGTAGTATATTTGTTGGATAATACTCGTAATCTTATTTTTTAGTAAGATTAAATTAGATTTACTGCTCAGTATACAAAACGTTAGGTAAAATAACAAAGTTAAAGCGTTATAAAAGCTTTGACGAAAACTTCACATTTATAAATAATTTAAAGCAGGAAGAAATGGGTTTATTTTATTTCTATGTTTTCAAACGTTTGGCCTATTACACCTTTGTTTATATCTACTTTTGATAATCTGGAGTTTTTAAGTACGATAGGCATTGACTTAATTTCATTCCTACAATAAGTGCTTTTTGCATTAATGCCTTTTTGTTCTGAGGACTTATCAATTCTAAACGATGTTCCTGCTTTGAAAACTATGCCTGCTGGAGAAACTGAAATTACGCGGGATGATTTTGGTGCAATAGTTATATTTTTATCAAGAAGTACATTTTGATAAAAACTTAGATATGGATAACTTTTGCTTCTTATAATAATGATAGGAACTGTTATATATGGGTATTTTTTTAATTCTAAGTTCAAATTTGGAAAGTTTATTGATTTAATGTTGTGACAAATGAAATCCATTCCTAATATATTTAGATCGCAGCAATTCTTGGCTGAAATCCATGCTTTAATTTTTACCGGATTATCAGAGTTTGTACCAAAAGTTGATTCAAAATTAGTATAACCTATAAGTTTAAGTTTTTCTCCATTCACAGCAACTGTGTTTGATCTAGATTTATTCAACTGTAGAGGCTGTATTTTACAAAATTGTTCATAACTGTCAAAATTAATAAGCGAACATGTTGCTCCAGTGTCTAGTAGAAATTGAGTTTCCAGACCGTTATTTTTATTTTTGTCTCCGACGGGATGTTGGTATAAATTAATATATAATTGTATTTTTGGTTCAGACGGAGACTGATCTAGTTTAAATTAGCAAGTTCACACTCATTGTCGGTATAGTCTCCTGGAATGTCATCATCACTAAAGTTGTGGATCTGGTAAGGTGAATGATAATCGTTATTTTCGTTGAAGTGTTTCTTACTGTTCGACCTGTCACGCGATTGAGAACTTTCATTGAAGTTTGACAAGTGCCTGAACTCTTGCTGAGAGTTTATGTCATTGAAATTGTTGTCTACTCTTGACCTACTCTTGCTATAGTTATGGTAACTTCTGTTTGAGTTCTCTCTTAATTGAAGCGAGTCATAATTTTGCTCCTGTTGATCGTTATATTTAAAGCAATGGCTTATCGTATGGCCTGACATGCAACACCAGTTGCAAAACATTGGGTTGTTTTGTTTGTTTCTTTGCTCATGTGGATTATAGGCTGCGTTTATTTTATGATACTTCATTAGTCCTGTTAACTCTTTAAGTTGATTCTTTATTCCCTTTATTTCCAATTTATTTTCTATGCTACTGGATGCTGTTCCGATAAATTCACTACTTATTGCAAAACTTAAGTCTTTTGTAGCAATATGATCTTTTAATTGTTGCCAAGTTGCGGGTGGATTCTCAATTAGGAATTGATGAGCCTTTTGTTTCAAGCCTGGCGGGCTTAAGCCGCGTACAAAGAATTCCATTTTCTTTGCTGCGCTTTGATCATCATTAAAAGTTGGATTAGGCCATCCACGGTCTACTGCAGTGCTTAATCTATGTATGTAGCTTTTAATGAATTCATCAGGTTGTCTTTTGATGTTTTCTGCTTCTATTCGTCTCCTATATTTATCCTTATCATCAGTGAATCTATCTATGAATTGATCTCTTATATCATTCCAAGGTAAGTTTGCTGCTAATCCCTGATACCATTGAGCGGCTGGACCTCTTAATATTGAACCAAATAAGGCTATTTGTCTGTTATCATATGCGTCTTGTTCGTCACCTGCATCTCCTGGTCTAGTGCCTAGGGAAAATGCTATCTTTTTCTCTACTATATCAAGAAAATCTCTTGCATCTTCATTCGGATCTAAGCCGGTAAACTTTTCGAGAGCTAAATCTGGGTATGCTACTACGTTTGCCATTTTTGTTTAATTCACTCAATGTTTTCTTAACAATATATAAAGGGTTTGGATGTGTTCTGTACTGATCAATTGTACGGACTAAAATATTTGTATTTAAGTTACAAGGAAGTTTGCTGGTTTCAATGAATACGAGTTTTTGTTAGATAGATCAATAGTGCTATGGGGCTGTTTAAGCTTTTTTAAGATAGAAGTTATCTCTGGGGTATTGCTGCTGGAAAGAATGGTTAATTCGTGAATATTTTTGTGTGGGTGTTAGGACAAAATTGTGATTTGATCTTTTTGGATATTGGTGATATACCAAATAATTTTTGTGGATTTATTTTTTAATTTTAGTTTTAAATTAAATGGTGTTGTATTTACTTAATAAAAGTTGGTCATAGCATTTTACATCCTTTTAGGGACATAAATAATTATCTAGGGAATGATAAACAATATAAAAAAATATTTAAATTTTTCTTATGAACTTGTTATGATTTTTAATTTTTGTTTAGGAAAATTTTGTGTTTTTAATAAAAAATGATTAAAATGCAAGTAGTTTTGTGCTTTGGTATATTATGATATCAAAAAGCAATCGGGAGTGAAGCAATTAATCGCTCTTCCGGTATACAAATTATGTTATTTGGTATTTTTATTTGCTGAAGAATTGTGTCAATTTCTGGAGTATTTCGTCGAAAGAAGACGTATAATTCGTGTTTATCTTCGTTAGGCTGTTTTGCTAGTATACTAATATGATTTTTTTTCAGTGTTAGTGATATACCATATGATGTTAGAGACTTTATTTCCTAATTTGAGCTTTAAATTTATTGTACTGACGTCAATTTTAAAATGTGTTGACATTAATTTCCTGATGTTTGTTTTCTTTTTCTTAAGCCAAGTTGTACTATTTGATTAGTATGTCTTAGAGTAATGAAAACCTCTTAAGAATTATTGAATATTAACAAAGGTTATTAATAATAAGATAAGGAAATAAAAAAATTTCTTTGGAAAAAAAATTTTTCTAAATTTTTTTCTAAGTTTTTCAAGTATTGTATTCGCTGAAACCTTAACTGAAACCTGAAACTTTGTTCAAGTGAAGTTTTGTTGATGCTATGGTATGGTTAACAATATAACTATATGCCTTTATTGGTTATTATTGGTTCAAAACTTAATTTTTTGGTTAAAAATTTTTAGAAAATTTTTTGACTGAAACGATAATCTGAAACCTGAAACTATGGTAGCTGAAGTTGAATTGTTTTAATCTTAAAATTTTCTATACGCTGTATTATATCTGGTTTTCGCTTTAACTTGCAAAAAGTTTCGAGAAAACCGAATCTTTTGATATCTTAAACTTAGTTTTTGAAAACTCAAACCTAAAACTCTTAAACTCTCTCAAACTCGGTGCATGAAAATAAAAAGTTGGTTTTTGATAGCTGGTTTAGTGTAAATTAGAATTTTGAACAGGTTTGTAACTTCAAAATCAAAAATTTGTTTGCGGAAACCTAAGTTTTTGGGGCTGAAACTATGATTTCTAGAACTGAAACTATGGTTTGACCACTTGGTTTTAGAGTTTTGAGATTGAAAATTTAGGTTGGTCTTTCTGATATATTTCTATTCCAGCAATAAAATTGCCAAAAAGATGAAAATTTTAGCCTAAAACGACGATTTTAGTTTTCTGAAACTATAAGTTTGAGGGCTCAAACTAACACCTTCTAGAAGTTTTTTGAGTTTAAAAATTTGTTAGTGCATTAAGGATTCCTATTATCTTTCAATATTTCACAAAAATTTCACTTGGGAAGCAAGATTTTTGGGTCTGAAACCAAAAACACCAATTCTGAAACGTACGTTTCAGCCTTAGGAACCAAAATTTAAAATTGGTTTGGTGGGTTTTAACACCGTTAGTTTTCTCTAGAAAGTCAAAATTCGGCGTTCGGAGCTCAATTTTGAGACCAAAAACTCAATTTTTGTGTTCTGAAACCTGAAACTAACAAAAACGTACCATTTAAGACCAGGTTTTTGACTTATGGTATCCAAATTTGGGTTTGACTAGTTCAACTTTTGCTGTTTTACCCGAATCCGTTTACAGAAACTTGAAATTTTGACCGGAAACTATACTTATTTTAACTGAAACGTTTGACCCTATAACTGAAACCTAGACTGAAACCAAAAATTTTGGCTGGTAAAAATCAATTTTTTATTGCTTATGCTATCATATGAAACCTATTTTATCAATATAAAGTGGATGTGTCAGTGTTTTAAACTTAGTTTTTGTTGTAAAACCTGATATTTTTGTGCTGAAACTAAAACTTGGTGTTTGGTGTTATGTGGTTAACGTTTAAGATTGGTTTTAGTGCGTAATCTTATTGTTTATTAGGTGTATATTTAAACTGTGTTAAAAAAACTAATGATTTATTAAAAAACACTCAAATCCGTTCCTTCCTTTTTGGTTTTTGTTATTTTCTTCCTTAGTTTCAGTAATTGGTAGCTTTACTGATGGATGATTTAGGTTTAAGTTACGTTAAGGTGGATAGAATTAAAATGAGTTTAAGAAAAGTTGAGGATAAGCCTCGAGAATTGATGAAGGGTTAGAATAAATAGCAACAAGCGTGGATGGTTTGAGATAATGTGATGAAGAATTCAATTTATCATACAATTTAGGGTAGTCTTAGATCGCACATATGACCACTTAACCTCCTCGAAAAAATAATTGAAGATATTTAATAAGTTTTTGAGCACTTTAGTTTAATACAGAATTTCGTTAATTTTAGTGATGATAACTTTAAACTGAAGTTTTGGCATGTAATTAGTGGATTACTGGACAAAACGGGTATATCTTACTAGCGGACTTAGGCAGAGAACGATTCTTTCAGAAATTTTATATATTATTATAATGATAGATAATAGTTAAGTTCATGAGCTAATGTTATTATCCAGTCTTTTTTGCAGTGTGTGCAGCTTAAAAACTGTTTCTGATTGTTTATGTAAGTTTGCAATGTTGCTATTTCTTTGCCATACATTTAGGAGCAAAAGAACACGTGGCCTCAAGTTTTTTACAAAGGAAAAGAGCATACGGAGCTGCTGAAGGTTTTCCTATTTTGGTTATTGTACAACAGACCAACACTTTACAGTTCATTTATCATCTTCAGTGAGCTCTTTTCACGCTCAAAGCCCCTTTTGACTTTTGCCCAAATTAGTTCTGCCTCCTTTTTTAATCCCCTTTTTTAAAACTCTCTTCCCCGCGCGCTCTGCTCTTGATTGCGAAACAAATTTGGAGAAAAAGTGTAACTAAAATTATACCCAAAAAGAAATGGTAATATTGCATGCAGATCTACTCAGTAAAAACTCTAATTTGTACTTTTGCTGCCAAAAAGCATAAAACAAACTTTTTACTGGAGAGAGAACTTATTTCAGTTTAAGAGGTGCTTGTTATTTTATCTCTCTCTCCTTGAAGTGCACAAAAAATTTTGGTGGATGGGTATGAAATAATTTTGTTGTTGAATTGTTCACTGTGTATGGGGTAATATGACAGCGGCGCTTGGGGTGCACATTACCCTTGAGGCCGTGGGCAAATCCTGTGCGGAATTGGGTTGTTTGCAGGCATCAATCATTTTGATATTGACCATGTCTTATAAATCCCGCGGTCTTAAAAAAGATACGCAGACCGAAGAATTTATAACTGATGCATTCATAACTCGCTGTTCGTTATAAGTGTGCTACCGCTTATTCCAATTTTACTAAGCGCTCATTGCTGGTTCAATGCTTAGTAATTTTATCCTAATTTATAAGTCTCACCTTAGATCGTCAAATTGTCTTGACAAAAAGTAGAGTAGAAACAATAGTTAGAAAAGGTATGAATTAATTAGTTGGTTGGATACAAAGCACTGGGTTATTAGATTATATAAACGAATCGAACAGCTTAAAGAAATATACCTATGAGGGGAGGTTGAGCTAATCTTATTTTGTTCATCATTTTTTTATCTTCTTACTAAGGTCGGTGGCTGATTAGTATGTATGGTTGCCCTTGATGTTTGTCCAAGTCAGCACTTCTGGTTGGGTCGTCTGGATCGTCTTGCCGTAGTCCTTTGGGTACTTGTAGTCCAGACTTCCTCGGGGGTGCGTATCTCGATTATCTCGATTTATAATTTTTAAAATCAAACTTAAGATGAGAATTTATTCTCTTTTTAAAAATGAAAAGGGCTAGATTAATTTTAGTGTTAGGGCAGAAAAGAAAAATTATTTATTTTTAAAAGATCTGACTGAAGAGAAATGACTTGCTGCTGACTGAGCAAAATGAAACACTGAAGATTTCAGGCCAGTCCTTTTGCTCGTAAGCATAAACCGGCGGCTGATTCAATCTTTAATTATTCAGGTTTCACCTGCTCCTTTGTTCTCCCTTTTTAATAAGGGAATTTTCAACTAGTTTTTGTTTGATTTTTTCAAATCAAATATCTTCAACTTATTAGTCCCCTTTGATAAAAACCGCAGCCTTCAGTTTGTCTGATTAAAAATTCATATTACTCTCTCTGATGCATCATATTGCAGGTGCACCTCTGCTTAATCAAAGCAAGGAGAATTTCAGTGCAGCCGGCAAGACTGCTAAATATTTATCCAGTTTGTTTCAAGTTAAGTTAAAAGGGACGTATTAATAATCGCCGCCCTTTTAAAATATTGAGCATGAAAAAATGAGAAAAATTGGACAAGTATTTAAAAAGGAGTGGATTTTCAAAACAAGATTTTATAGTCCTAATAAGAGTAAATCAGTCAATATCTGATTTAATGAAAAGAGGCTTTAATTTAAATGGCACGCTCCAATTTAGAATTGGGTCGTTAAATAAACAATTAAGACAATGGTCTTTTGTGTGTGTGTAGTATTTTGCAATACTACACAATCAAACGCGTTCAAATTTGCATAAAGCTGCAGGCAGTTTTGATTAAAAAGCTGTTTGAGTTCGAACGGGATGGTTAAATTTCTTTGATGCTTGTCTGATTCTTAAAAAATATTCAAAATGTATTTGAGCTTAAAGGTGTCTTTATAGCGCTTTTTATGATAGCAACTAGGTTCTAAAATTCCACCATTCTACCTGACTAATCAGCCTAACGAGAAAATGAACCTTTTCTACTTCAAAAACTCCTTTTTTCCTGCTAATTAGGACTTAGGAGATGTCTTTTTATTCTGACCCACCAAGTCAAAATTCCAATTCACTTCCTTCTTTGACTTCCGCGCTTGGCTGTGAGAAAGATAGGATTTTGAATGAAAGCAACATATCTTTTCATTTAACTTAAATTGAATCTGAGAGATACTTTTAAACGGAACCATACAAGCTCAATGCTAAACCAAAAAGACTAATCAAGGAAGCTTAATGAAATATCTGCAGTATTTTTATGATAAACCTTAAATCAGGTTTTTCCATATACTCAAAATCATGGAATTTCCGAGAATCTTTCAGAAGTTTTTTAGTACCTCCCCGCACCGAGCGCCCATGAATTCTAATCGATTATAATGGATTTCCGAGACAAAAATAATCCATTATATTCCATTACAAATAAAAAGTTCAGACCACGAAATCGATTATATTGCCAATATAATCGATTATTTTTGAAAAAAAAATCCGTTATAATTCATTATTTTTGTCATTGAAATCTATTATTTTTGCCAAGATAATCCATTATAATCGATTTTTTTTTTGAAAAAAGAATACATTTTAATCCATTATAATCGATTATAATCCATTTCATTTTAAGAACTAAATTAGATAATTTTTGCAAAATTTTGAAAATTTTGCGAGAAATTTGCAGAATGTATGCCATGTCTTTTACTAAATGCCATGTCTCAACGTCATCCCCTAGCCCCCCCCCCCCTTAGTTTTTAACCCCTCCCCCCTCAAGTAAAGGTGGGGTAAACTGGGAGGAGGGTAAACAGGGGGAGGGGGAGTAAACTGGGGAGCTCAACTGGGGGGGGGGGCTAAACTGGAAGGGGGCTAAACGGGGGGGGGGGGGTTGTGATAAAAAATAAAAACAGTAAAATGAAGTGTTAAACTGCATTGAATTAAAAAAGTAGAGACAAAAAAATGTACACAATTTATTCTGAAATGTAACATTTTAAGAATAAGAAACGTAATGCGTTGCAGCTGCACTAAACAGAAAATGAGATAACTTCAAACAAAATTATAAATTTCATAAATAACCCATCGAAAAAATCCAATATAATCGATTATATTGGATATTATTGGCATTAAAAATATAAGGATTAAAATCCATTTCTAATGGAGTTTAATCAATTATAATGGATAAAATTGACATTAAAAATGTTAGGATTATGATCCAATTTTAGTGGATTACAATCAATTATTTTGTCATTTTATAGATGCTGACCATATTATGACAATTTAGTATCTCAATATTTTTTATTTCAATATAATCCATTAAAATCGATTGTAATCCATTGAAAATGGATTATAATCCTTATATTTTCATGCCAATAAAATCCAATATAATCGATTATAGTTGATTATAATGGATTTTTTGAGAGGTTTTTCGTGAATTTTACAATTTTGTTCGAAGTTATCTCATTTTCTTTTTTGGTGCAGCTGCTATGTGTTTTGTTTCATAAAAAGTTACATTTCAAAATAAAATATATACGTTTTTTTTTTCTATGTATACATCCCCTCAGTTTACCCCCTCCCCACCCAGTCAAACTTTTTCCCCCAATAAAAGATAAAAACTGATAACTTATTTCTACATTACCAAATTGAAAGTTTTGAAGAAAAAAATTGTTTTATTGTTCTGATAAATGCTTTGAATAAACTAAATTAATGTAATGAGCGCTGTTTTTAATCAAATTCTTTGAGGAGTTTTGTGGAAGTTTTTCCAAGCTTTTTGCTCCGTTTTTTGAAGAAATGATGAAATACTTCACTTGCTGTGGTTTTATCGTGAGACAAATTTCGACTTTTTAACTGCCCATTTTTGGCTTTTTTGTTATCGGAGAAAATTGAAGTGGTAAATTAGAGTTCAAAAATGAAGTAATATTAAGCATGCAACCTTTTTTTGAGAAGTTAGGCAGTTTCAAAATTGCTAATTTGACTAATTTGGTATAGTTAATATGTCCATTTTTTCTGAAAGTTTCATCCCTTCTTTACCATAAACTACATCTGACCTCTCGAAAAGCAGCAAGAAAATTCAGCTTCTGCAACAATACGAGCAGTCTTGTTAAATATTGAACTTTTAATAAGTATTTTTGCCGCAATCTTTTTCCGTTATCTTTTCACACAGGCTCTAATCATACAACTTTTTCTTCTGTCTCTGAAAAAAATATTCATTAGGTTGCCAATGGGTCAAAATGACATTTCGATAGCCCGGTAACTTCCCAAAAACTAATTACAGGAGAATTATGTTTTATAATTTGAGCTCAGGGCGTCGATATTTTTGACATGCTATAGCTTGTTTCTGTCAAAAACGGTTATAAAAAAGGTACATTTAATGGTACGGTTAAAACTGGTACGTTTAAAAAACGAAACACGACTGCTTGTATCAAGTCGATATGATATATTGATTTTTCCGACGGAACTTGCAGGTGTCTCAAATAATATTAATTAAAATTTAGATCAAATTTTCAAAAAAATCAACTTTTTTTTCAAAGTTTTTCCGCCCAATGAAAGATAAAAAGTGATAAGTTTTGGATCTATTACCAAATTGAAAACTTTGAGAAAAATGCGGAATAATTGTGAAACC